AAGGCGCTGGATTTCCACATGGCCGACTACAGCTCAAGTCCCAGACCTGGTGGCTTGAAAAGCCAGGCATATGTGTGTGTGGGAGCCCAAAATCCTGGGAGGAGAATGGAGAAGGATTTGTAGCGTGGCCATCTACCCTGGCGTGTGATTTCTCACTTCCCCTCTCATTTTTTTCTCTTCTCTCAACAAGTGCATGCGCCCTGTAGCAAAAGCCTTCAAAACAAAACAATGAAACCTCAGAACTTTCTGTTCTTCCTATAGAGTAGGGAGAAAATTATCCAGAATTTAGAACTGAGGAGTTATGTACACTTGCATCTCACCTTCCTGTGGAATTTTAACCTGTACGCATCATTGCAAATACGGTCTTCTAAAGACAGAAGGGCTAAAACATGGCGGCCCCGCGTGCAGCCAGTGTATTTCTCATGTGAGTGCACCTGGACTATGTAAGTCGAATGCGATGACGGCTCCTAAGCCTCCACTTCTCCAGACGCGTTTCATTTCACGATTCTGTCGTCAGGCTGCTGTGATGACAGGCAACTCTCATTTTTCCTCATGTTTGCCATTTTATGTCTACTTTATTCTCTAATTTGAACTTGAATCACAGCAAGTCCTCTTCATCTGTTCTTTCCTTTTTCTTTTTAGTTTTGCTTTAGTTCTTTCAATTCAGCCCCTTATATATTTTCTTTTAAAAATATTTCATACACAAATAGCTTTTATCTAAAGTGCTAGGACTGCTTTTTTTTTTTTTTTTTTTTTTTAATTTAGAATATGACCACAAAGTGTTGAGTTGAATGGACTTACTGGATTGAAAAGCTTATGATTAAATGTCAGTTCAAATTTTGATTTGTGAAAATCACAGATGATTAGCAGTATACCACACATATTTGAAAACTAATTCTTTTTAGCCAGAATTAGAAAAAGATTTGTGAAGACAATCTGCACTTACCTTGCCAGAATATTCTGAATGGATATGGCCCGTGGGACTATCAGAGACATCAATGTTATTATGAAGAGAAGGGTGGAATGGTTCAGTTACTATATATGCACTTGTTTAGATTTGATTTTTCTGGAATATGCTATAGGGCATGTGTGCTTATTGGAGGGACGCGCGTGCGCGCGCACACACACACACACACACACACACACAGAAAGAGAGAGAGAGAGAGAAGGATAGATAAAGTGAGAAATAACCCTCCATCGCTCTCTGTCGGGGGGATAGCCATGCCTCAACCCCTCTCCATTCTCCTTTTGGGATTTTGGGCATACACACAAATGCACCTTGTGTGATTTTCAAGCCACTGGGCCTAAGATTTAAACTGTGTGATTGGCCATGTGGGATCCAGAACCTTAACCTCCACACCACCTGCTAGCCCATACTCATTTAGAACTTTAATTTCGCTTCTGGTATCTTTGTTGTACCTATACATATGTTCAGCTCTGTCTTGATTTTCTATCTTACAGTGTCTAGAGAGCTTGTCTAGCTAAAAGGCCTCATTTATTTCTTTGGAAAAGCAAGCATGTTTAAATGAATACTCTGATGATCCTGGAACACTTCTGTAAATGAATACTCTGATGATCCTGGAACACTTCTTTAGTCTCTGCACACACACACACACACACGTGCGCATGTGCAAACATACACATATTTGTACATATGAAGGAATGCCAAAAGTTCATGGCAAGATAAAGTATGAGTTTATTTTGCATTTTTTAATAATACTCATTTTTCACAAACCTTTTGAAGATCGTGTGTGTGGGTATATATGTGTATGTATGTGTTTGTGTGCATGTTTAACCACTATATTTATTAAGAAACTAGTCCTACTCATCAAAATCTAGAAATATAGATGCCTGGCCCTCAGAGGCCTGTTAATAAGTGGGTGTCAGCGCTTCAGTGCTTCGCAGTTGTTTTCCGTGTCTGTAGCAGTGTTTCTTGAACTTCAGTAGGCATCAGAATTACCTGGGGGGGCTATTAAAGCAACTTTCTGGGCCCTACCCTACAGTTTCTGTTCAAATTTCTTGACTTAGGAATGGTTGATTATTTTAAATTACATAATGCTTAGATGAAAATTTTCATAATTTTCCAGGTCTTCCTGATATTGCTGACTTGAAAATCACATTTTTCTTCAATTGCCCGGGGTGTGTGCACTCTTCAAGCGCCACACACACACACACACACACACACACACCAACCCCAGTGTGGTGCAGTAATGCTGCAGTCCCTTTGTCTTTATTTTTCCTTCTTGTCAGGATTCTGGGCAATGCACGTGCACCTGGCTTCTCTTTTAAGCCACCGGGGCTGGGATTTGAACCATGGTCGACCATGTGGGATTTGGTTCCCAGTGCACAACACTTATACACTATACTATGGGGCCAGCCCATAACTCATTTCGACACCACTGGCTTATGAAATGCTGTGTGTTAATTTTTCCCCCTGATTTCTTTCCATCAAATGTATCTTAGTGGCAGCATCTAATTCATTTTGTGGGAGTAAGAGTGTAACCTCTACAGTCGGACTGCTTCATATAAAATACTGGTTTTGTTAATAATAATAATTATATAGTAATGTATAAATTGGTTCTAAGTATTTCATGCATATGATTATGATAATATTGTATAGAGATAATTAATGAAAAGTAATATCCTCCCCTTCCCTAATTCCACTTCTCAGAGGGAACCATTTTTAACCCTTTCAATTATTTTCCCTGGCATTTCCTCCATATTGCTAAATAATATGCTTACATTGTTATTTCTTGATGTGTCAATTTTGGGCATTTACTTGTGTCATGAGACAAGTCCTTGGATTGTCGCTTCCAACGACGACGCTGACAAGGTCTTCTCCAGAACGCTTTACTACCCCGGGCTTCTTACAATCTTCTTCTTCCTCCTTCCTCCATTCTCCCCAGCCTCCTCCCTCCTTCCTTCTTTCTCTGCAGCCTTCTTCCTCCCAGCCCACCCGGGCTCCCTATATATCCGTCCTCGAACCAGTCCTCTTTTGCCACCAGGCAAGCACTGATAGGCTGAGGCAGTGCCAACGCGTTCCGGAACAGGAACGATAACCAAATATGGGCTTGTTTGTGTAGAGGTCTGGGTGCTCTCGGCGCCATGTTAGGGCGGGGGCGCTCCACATCGGATCAATCAGCCAAACCTCTCTGCCTTCATCCCAGGATAGTTGTAGTACAGTAGGTGCATGTTCTTATTTTTCTGTTTGTCCAAATTTAAAATATTACATATTTAAATACAAGGTATATTTATCTTATTTTGGTAAATCACAGTTTACAAAGTATCATGATTGGGCTAAATTTTAAAGAAGGCAGAAGAGTTTTGTTTATGAATTAGCATAGAGAACAGTTATCCATCAGCTGTCAGTGGATCTTTGACCAAATGCTATTTCATTCCTGGCAGTTAGGGGTATTTTTACACAGAAAATATTCTAGAACAGCACTGTGCAACAGCACCTTCTGAATTATGTAGACTTGCTGTCATCTGGCCTGCCCACGATGGTTCTCCCCAGCCACCTGTGGCTACTGAGAACCTGGAATGCGCTAAGGCTGCTGGGGAGCTACATTTTAAATTTTACTTAATTTTCATTCTTTTTCTTTTTTTTTTTTTTCTGCTATAGGACTCATGCACGTGCCAGAGGGGACAGAGAGAGAGAATGAGAGGTCACCTCCCAGGGAGATGGCCATCCCTGCTGTGGTCTCTTTTCCTCCAGGCTCCTCCCAGGATTTTGGGCATGCTTGCATACTTGCCTTGGTGTGATTTTCGAGCCGCTGGGTCTGGGATTCAAACCGTGCAGCTGGTCATGTGGGATCCAGCACGTTCACCTTTAGGCCACCTCGTGGCCCCAATTTCATTAATTTAAATAGGAATACCACATGTGGCTGGTGGCTCCTTATTGGACAGTTCTGGATCTCTGGATGATCATTTATTGTCAGGATTTATCTGAGTGGGTTCTTTCTGATAGCATATGAGAAGTTTTAACTTTATTAAAGTACTCCCCTGTTTTCTGTCAGGCCCATCACATCTTAGCTCATTCCTGGCGGCTCTGAGGCACCCGTAGCCACTGTGTCTTCATGCCTGCCGCGTAGCAGGTGCTGGTATGGGCTGTGTACCGAGAACCCAGAGAGGGTGCACGTGGTGCAGGCGGCGGAGACTCAGACGGGGACTGAGTGGTAGAGTCGATGCAAATGCTTCTTCACAGTGCCGTGTATAGCAAGTGGTTTTAGTGATCATAGACACACTTTCACATTTCACGTGAATCTTCCATTCTACCTAGATGGTTCGTTTGGTCTTTCTTCAGCTTTTCTTTTCACTCACCTGCATCCTGTGTATGCTCAGATTCAGCCGAGGTGGTTGTGGGCCAGGAGTATGCTTCGTCTGCCCCGCCCCTGCCCCCATCCTTCCCTGGGTCTTGTTCAGGCACTTCTACTCTTGGTTGCATTAGCTGGCCTCGCATGGCTGTGGCATGCCACATCTCCATGATACTGTGACTGTCTTGAAGTCAGCACTGCACCTAACTAATGTTCTAGGAGGCAAATACAGAGCATCCCGGAGTGGTTCTGTTTGTTTGTTTTTTTAGAGAGAGGGGTTTTTTTTTTTTTTTTTTTTTTGTGGTGGTGTTGTTGCTATAGGGCATGTGCACTCACTATAGAGAGAGAGACAGAGAGACAGAAAGCGAGAAATCAATCCCCAAAGGAGATGGCCATGCCGCAGCCCCTTCTCCATTCTCCTCTCAGGGTTTTGGGTATGCATGTACACATACCCAGCGTGAGTTTAAGCCGCTGAATCTGGGACTTGAACTGCGTTCAGCTACGTGGGAGTCCAGCAACATAATCATTATGTTATCTGCTGGTCCCAGTCCCAGAGTGTTTGAGGCCATTGTTACTATGCTCTTATTTTAAATACAGTTATCAGAGGTTGAGGAAAAGGATCTGTTTCTCAGTATTTAATGTATGTTTAATGTTATTTAAAATGTGAATAAATACCAAGAACTCCTAACTAATAAATCACTTGTTCTCCACATGTGTGTTCACCATGCATGATTCAGTTGGTACCATGATAGCTAGAGCATTACCTAATCTCTGCACCTTCCCTTTGCAGGGAAGAAGAATAGCGAAATGCATTTGTGCCTTGGAAATTGTGGAGTGACAGAATAAGCCGCTGCAGCTCTGAGGGCATGGCAGCGTGTTGGCAGCTCCGGGGGGTGCCGTGCTCCTAAGCCAGGTCTGCCTGTCGGGGAAGCCCATTTCAGCAGAGCAAGCACATACTCAGTAACTGTCCTCTTCGTGAGAGCAGGGCGAGGCAAGCAGCCCGTGTTTTCTTTAACTGAGACATGCAGAGAGACATGGTCCTGGTAACAAAACAGCCCAGGATGTTTGATGTCTTGCTGAGAGAGAGGAGGGCGAGGAAGACACAGGAACTCAGGGCCGCTGTAATGAAAGGTGTAAGAGGATTAAATGTCACCACTCCACGAAATGTCCCTAAAGTAGGAAACCCCAGAGCTGCTGAGGCAACGTGAAAGGAAGCAGCTTGGCGCCATTTAAGCAGAGCTTTAGGGGCAAGATACCCATGATGGAAGGACAGCGATGCAGCCTGAGCTGCCCAGAGCTCGCAGCGCCACCTGAGGCAGCACCAGGCTGCCCTCAGGGGTCTGTGGGCGACGTGCAGCTGCTGGTGCTGTAGGAGCCAGCCCTAACCATGCCTTGTACCCTGTCCCCCCGTTTCCCCGTCCCATTGGGTTCGGAAGGAGATGGGGTGGCCAGGCCTGCAGGTCTGGGGATGGTAGGAATACTCTCATTCCAGGTATGCTCTGTTACCGTGTAACAGAGGGACTCCAGTACCGAGGTCCCGGTACTACAGAAGAGAAGCCTGGTGTGGGACTGGGCGCTGCTTCTGTAAGGGAACATGCATTGCAGCCGGGGCTGTTGCAACAAGATCCCATAGGCCGGGTGGCTTAAACAACAGAAACTCATTTCCTCTGTCCTGGAGACTGAAATGCAAGCTCGAGATGCTGGCAGGTCTGGTGCCCAGAGCCTCCCTCCTCAGCCTGCGGAGGCTGCTGCCTCCCTGGGTCCTGGCATTGCCTGTCCTCTGTGCTGGTGTTGCTGTCCTGACTCCTCCTACTCACAGCTTTCTGACCTGATTCTAAGTGAGGGTCGGGTTCCCCATCTCCCTTTGAGTCCAGTATTAATCCATTTCCTGCAGCCGGACATATTAAGATAAAATATTGGGATGGGTCAGTAGACGCTTCTTAAAGACACCAGTTGTGCTGGATAAGGGAAGGCCTACCAGTAAGACCTCATTTAATCTAGTTAGGCTTTAAAGGCCACCTCCACCTGCTGGCACATTTGGAGGAACGGAGGGTTAGGGCTTTGATGCAGGATGGATTCTAAATATCACCTTAAGCTTTTTTTTTTGGAGAGGTTTTTGCTATAGGGTGCATGCACTCGCCAGACAGACTGAGAGAGACAGACAGAAAGCGAGAAATCACCCCCCAGGGGGGATGGCCATGCTGCAATCCCTTCTCCTCCATTCTCCTCTCAGGATCTCGGGCACACACGCACATGTGCCCGGCGTGAGTTTTAAGCCACTGGGTCCGGGATGCGAACCGCAGTCGACTATGTGGGAGTCCAGCGACATAGCCATTATGCCAACTCCTGGTCCCAAAATATCACCATAAGCTTTGTAGCTACTCATCTCTGTCCTTTAGGGTGGAAGCTGTCCAGGCATATACTAACGAATGTGGCTGTGTTCCAATAAAACTTTATTTATGGACACCGAGATTTGAATTTCATACAATTTCACACATCATGAAATATTCTTTATTTATTTTTTCCCACCCATTTGAGAATGCAAATGCTTCTCTTAGCTCCTAGGCTGCTGTTTGTCACCCATTTCTGCTCGGTGGTACTTGATCTGCTCGGAGCAGAGCTAGACTCCTGGGACATGACCCTTGAAATGCTGCGTGTTACCCAGCCTTGGCAGTGGTGACTCCTCCTGGGTGGATTTATGTGTGGGGCTGTGTCCTGACAAGTGTTTTCGTCACAGAATCAGCCTACTGTGAAGACATTTCACTCCGTGCCGGGATACCCTTGGACGTGGTGAATAAAGCCATCTGTCACTGTGAGAGTATTGACGAAGTCCTCCCTGCCTGGGGCCAGGATGGGAAGTACATCACACGCTCTCGCGGGTGCTGGCTGGAAGCCCTACAGAAGTGGCCACGTGCACCCTCCTCTTCTGGCCAGGAGTCCCCGGCGTTGTCTTCGATTTTAGCTTCCTCTGCCATTTGGGGGGTTTGAATTGATTCTAGCAACATGGGGCAGTGCTTGGGGGAGACATAATAGTTTCTGTGATCCTTTCTCAGGATGGCGTTCCATTAGCCAGCACCGCCGTGGCCCATGCGGGAGCGGGGACTCTCAGGCCTCTGCTAAAGCCCAGCATGCTACCCTGGTAAGCCTGGTCTCTTCCCCCTGCCTCCCCAGTTTGGGGTTTGTCTTTCAAGCTTAGAGCCAGTCCTCCACCCTAACTTACAAGAGCTCATCCTTCTCAGGTGAGCCCCAAGCTTGGGCCACACCCCTCGTCCAAGAGCCTCCCACTCCCCTGGGCATCCTTTGGAGCCTTGGCCTCCGGAGATGGAGCTGGTGGGACAGTGCCATGAGAGCCTAGACTCTGTGGCTGGGTCTGGGTTAGTGTCACAGGCCGACGCTGGGTCTGTCAGCACAGCCACCTGTTTCTCAGTGATGCTTGTCTGCACTGGTAAACCCACTGGTGAGCAGGTGTTCACGTAGCCTGAGAGGGCGCCTCCTCCATGTTCTCGGAGCCTCGTACAGCTTCCTGGTTTGATTGCACTGGGTTCCCCATCTCCCTTTGAATCCATTGTGACCATTCACCCTCAGAGCAGGCCTACTAAGGTAAAATGTGGGGGGTAGGTCAGCAAAAGCCAGAATAAGGTGCCCACTGAGGGCCTTAGAGCCCCATCACTATTCGCCATCCACCAATTCCCGAAGTGGGGGGAAGCTGGGCCTCCCTTCTTGGCCCAGGGATACCCACAGCACTGCCCACCTGCATAGCTTTCTGTCGTAGATGGAGTAGTTTTAGGTCAGAATCTGGAGCAGAGTGACAGGACTGGCTAACTTTTTATGAATTCCCTTAATAACAAGGGAAATGGCACCATGTATTTATGCCTCTGAAGTTGGCAGAACGGTCAGAGATGTGTTCAGAGACATCACTCCTTGCTGGAAGACCTAGAAGCCAGGGGTCAGAAAGGGGGAGGCTTAGGTCAGGAACTACCTGGCTATACCTGTGCCATGCTGACTGTGGACGGCTTGGAGCCAACCTTTGCTGCAGGCCAGAGGCAGGGCTGAGAGATTTGTAGTGGTGTAGAAAAGGCCCCAGCACAACCCTCATCCAGTGCTGAGATCCACTCAGTAAGCCTCACAGAGGTTCCCTCAAAGGAGTGACCAGCTGCATTCTCCAAAGGTGACAATACAGTTGGGTCAGCAGAAGAAACTACAGTAGCCACTGCTGAAGCCCACTCTGGGGAGCCATCTGCTGACCAGCTTCCTCTCTGCCACCCATTTTAATTCCCTTGTTATTGGCCAACATTTCAGCCAGTAGTCTTTCATGGGTGAGGTGCTTCAGGGCTTGTCCTGGGACTGTGCCCAGGGAGGTGTGTTCTTCTATCCCCTTGCTTGGATTGGTTACTGCAGAGGCCTGACCTCTGTTAAAAGCACCCAAGGCAGCTAAGGGTCCCTTGTCTGTTGATCCATCAGAATGAGGAGCTACAACGACCTGGTGGGAGTTGGAGCATTGGTTCAGTGGAATGTCACTGTATCCTCTTGTGGACATGATCCTTGTGCTGGGAGCCAAGGCCTCTAATTCAAAACAGAAACTTTGGGGACCAGCAGATGGTGTAATGGTTACATTGTTGGAATCCCACATGGCCAGCTGCAGTTTGAATCCTGGACCTGGCAGCTTGAAACTCATGCCAGACATGTGTACATTCATGCCCCAAATCCCGAGAGAAGAGTGGAGGGGAAGGGAATGTGGTGTGGCCATCCCCCATGGGGAGCCATTTCTGACTCTCTGTCTCTCTAATGAATGCACGTGCCCTATATAAAAAAACCTCTAATCTGTGTGTACTTACTTGACAGTTTCTAGACCACCGAAGAGCAGCTCTCTGTCAGCCATTTATAGATGCTGCCACATACCAGCTCTGAGATCACCAACATCTTTTTGAGCAAATCTTGGCTTGCTGTACTTTCTTCGTCTTTGTACTTTGACTCTCTCTGCTGCATCTCCTTGCTGTGATAGAGACAAGGTTTAGCATCCTTATCCTTTGGTGCCAAAAACCAACTCCAGGTGGATGATATGCATTTGAGACAGTCAATGGAATCCATTATTTTGTTGGTTATTTGTCTTATGTCATCATCTCAGTGTCCCAGGACAGCTGTGAGGTCAACCAGTGACACTGTCCTGTAATTCCTTCCCAAGGGTGGCCGCAGGTTTGTCAGGCTATTTGAACAATAGCCTGACTTCTGTAGAATAGTCTTATCAGGGAACTAGGAACTAGAAATTTACTGTGTTCCCTTTCTGTCCCCATGCCACCTCCTTTTCAAGGCTCAAAAGTGATTAATTACCATTCCTTCCTTAGAAAAAACCTCCATTTTTTCCTTGTAAGAAGTGTGGCCTTATGTTTAGCTAAGCAGCTGGCAAATTATTTAAAACTGAAGCTAGAATCTGGAAATCAAGAATATTATGAGAATGACTTCGAGGTCCTTAGGTGATTTATCTGTAGCCTCCCTGACTTGCCTAGACTACGTTTCCATAGCCTGGTTCTGGCTCATTCATCAGTTAGGTCCTAATCATGTCAATAAACATCAGAAATTTAGGTCTGGGCAGGAGAAAGAAAATCCTCTTTGAGTATTGTTATATTTGATGTGTCAAAGATAACTGGTATATGATTTGGGAACCACAAAAGAGACCAAATTTAAACATTGAGATTTGGGAACTGTGAGGTTAATTTGGGGCACCAACTTGACTGGATTGATGGATGCTTGGGAGTTTGAATAGACATTATTTCTGAGAGTAATGTGTTCCTGAGAGTAATGTCAGACAAGATTAGTATGAGTCATTTGCTGAGAGAGAAAGAGCCACCTTCAATGTGGGCAGGTCCAGCCAGCCTTCTGGGGTCCTGGAAGGATAGAGGAAGCGCAGTTCTGTGTCCTCTCTCACTCTTTCTCTCTCTCTTCTTCCCCTTCCTTCCAGAGTGTATCTTGTGTTCTGCTCCTACACATCCACCTTCTCCATTTCCGTTCCTCCACTTGGCCTCTAGCAGAGTTTGTTTCTGCTGGCTCCTGACCCCTGCATGACTTGAATCAGACCGACTCCCAGTTCTTTAGACTTTAGACTCGGGAGTCATACAAATGGCCTCCTGAGAACACTGGGGCCTGTGTTCTCCTGAGGGCCCCCTTCAGGTCTTTGGCTGAAACTGCACCAGCTTTCCTGCTTCAGTGTTTTTCAGCTGTTTCTGGCTTTCAGACAGCCTACTGTGGGACTTGTCTGCATTGTGATCCTGTGAGATAATTCCTAGAATAAATTCCTTCATCTATCTATCTATCTGTCTATCTGTTTATCCCTTCATATACTGGGTCATTGGAAAAGTAATGACTTTTTTATTTTCTATATAAAAATGTGTCATGACTTTACAGACAGCCCAATACGTATGTTTTGTCTGAAGAACACTGACCAATACAGAAATAGATAGCATATGTGTGATAAGAAATGCCATGGAGTGGGTAATTATACTAAAAAACAGGGCGTATAGGAGAAGAGTCCTGGGCCAAGCAGAACCCTGGAATGCCAACACCAAGGCATGAACGAGGAGAAACAGCAATATTTAGTGTTAGGTAGTATCAGAGAGCAGAAGGAAACACTAGTATTAAGAAATCTGAGTGAGCAAAAAGTTCAAGGGATGAGAAATAAAAAGTCAAACGCAGCTGAAAAGTTAGGTGAAATAATGACTGAAAAGTGTTCATACGGAGATGACTGATGTCAGAGAACAGTTTCATGGGAAATGCAGAAATAGCTAGATTGGAGAGGGTTGAGTGGTGAATGGGAATTTGATATGGGAAATACATGGCAATTTTTACTCAAACAATACATATTTTTGGCTAATATTAAAAATTTTTCACCCATTGGAAAACTTTACATTCTTCTGTCAAGCCTTTCCTTCCTAGTCCCCTCCCACCCACCCTTCAAGCCTTTCCTTCCTAGTCCCCTCCCACCCACCCTTGCTATCGACCCACCTCTCTGGTATCCACACTTGTTTTTCTTGCCATTATATCTTTAGGGTCTTTCCATTTCTGTCAGAGAGTGCAGACATTTGGTATATATTGAACAGGGACATACAGAGTTTGTCCATCATAGTCTGATGTCTTTCACTTAGCATAAAATCTTCTGTATTCATCCACTTTCCATCAAATAACAGAGTCTCACTGTTTCTTATGGCTGAGTTCTTAAATATTTTTTCCCTGATGAGGCATGGTGAGAGGGGAGTGGCTAGTCAGGTTAGAGTTAAGGGAAGGGGGCAGAAAACATTTATGGGTGGGGAGTGTTGGAAAGATGGAGGATAATAGAAAATGCAATAGGAGAAGGAACAAGTGCGAGAAAGGAGACTCATTGATGAACTAGCTTGGTCAGGAGGAGCAGTTACCTCTGAATGGTGGAAGTAGATAGGCAGATACAGATCAATTTGCAAAGCCGTAGGGATGGTAAGAAGTAGTTCATGCTCAGTGACCTCAGGATTTTTTTTTTTTTTTAGAGGTTTTTGCTATAGGGTGTGTGCGCTTGCCAGAAGGACAGAGAGAGAGAGACAGAAAGCGAGAAATCACCCCCCGGGGGGATAGCCACACCGCAGTCCCTTCTCCTTCAGTTTCCTTTTGGGATCTTGGGCATGTACGCACACATGCCTGGCATGAATTTAAGCCACTGGGTCCGGGACTCGAACCGTGGTCGACTACATGGGAGTCTAGTGACAGTCATTATGGTTATTGCTGGTCCCCTTCTTTTTTTCTTTTTTTTCATTGAAGTAGGAGAATGATTAAGGGGAGTGATGAGGTGAGTGTTGGTAGGAGCTTATCCAGAGGGCATAGAGTCGGGACCTCACCTAGGACACACACAAGGTCATTAAGGTGTGCCCATGATCTCTAGGAGCAGACGTTCCATTTTAGCAGTGTTCTGCAGCAGCACCCAGGGACCCAGGGTACAGGAGCAGAGAGGGTGGATTGTGGGACTGAGCCAGGGCTGGGCATTAGCAGGCCATGCGGTTGGGAGATATTTGTGGCAACTGTAGAGGAAGTAGTTCAGCTGCTTTATTTATGCCATAAATAGTGAAGTACAGGGGCCAGAAATGGTCAATCTCATGGGAGAAAATGAAGAGGCAGAAAATGAAAGTAGTAGAGGCTTGGCACGTTCAGTGGGACAGAAGGCCTGGCCACTTCTCAGCTCTCCTCTTAAACCTACCTCAGTCTGCTTCCATTTCCACTTCTTCCCGGAAGCTGTTCTGGTCAAAGTCATCAGCTTCTCCTATTGTTAAATCTTAAAACACTTCCCTATGCTCCATTTACTCAGCCTGACAGCATTCAACACATTCGACTGCTCTCTCCTTGT